TGCGAATTGTCACCTGCGGAGATTGTGCGTGTCGGATCGCTCTCGCTGTGGCGCCGTGCGAATTGTCAACTTCGCCGACGAACCCTCTGCGGAGATTGTGCGTGTCGGATCGCTCTCGCTGTGGCGCCGTGCGAATTTTCTACGTGGCCGACGAGCCCTCTGCAGAGATTGTGCGTGTCGGATCGCTCTCGCTGTGGCGCCGTGCGAATTTCAACTCTCGCCGACGAACCCCCTGCGGAGATTATGCGTGTCGGAGCGCTCTCGCTGTGGTTTTCTTTAAAATTAAGTACAACGCAAAGTACACTCCCGCAGCTCCGGCTTGCAAAAACGGAGGGAGGGGGAGAAAGAGAGAAAGAGAGAAAGAGAGAAAGAGAGAGAGAGAGAGAGAGAAAAAGAGAGAAAGAGAGAGAGAGAGAGAGAGAAAGAGAGAAACAAAGAAAGAAAGAGAGAAACAAAGAGAAAGAGAGAAAGAGAGAGAGAGAGAAGCAGTGTATATGTATACAACATCATAGATATACCCCAACATTATGCATCACCTTTCTCACACACGCTTTCGGGATGACCGGTGTCTAGTTACTAGCGCCGGCTTTTTACTAGCCCCGGCTCAGCACAAGGCCTCCCCCATGTGGCTCTGAAGAGGTTGGCTGGGAACCCTTGCTTCGCTCTCAAATTGGGGGCAACAGGCGGTATTCTTTGGGAACAGGTTGGTGGGCCGCATCCCCAGCATCCCCAGCATCACTCGGACTAGGGCTGCCAATTGCGGCAACTCAGATGTTGCTTCGGGCCGGCTTTGGGCGAGCGGCGGGCTTGCTGAGGCCAACCTGGAGCCTCCAAGTCGGCCCAGAACCATCGACTGATCAAGCCCTTCCTACGGGGCCACACTTGCACAATCGGCAAGAGGTGACAACACAAGGTGATAACACATGGACGAGTTTGGGAAGCGAGCCCAAATCGGCACAAAAAGTACAATAAAAGTGCAACACGCCGTGCCGTGCAAGACTTGCCTTTGAAAAGCGGTCCATAATGAGGGCGGGTCTTGGGGGGTTCATTTGGGCTTTGTAAAGGGCTGATATCCCGTTGGCTTGGAGCTGATTTGCGCGAGGTGCGCGGCCCGGTTTTTGCACTAGCCTTTGGGCTGCTTTAGGGACGTGGTTGCGCAAGTTTTGGGCTGGTTTGGGGCCCCACAACCAATCCCAAAGCAGCCCGAAAATTGCATAACCACGCCCTGAAGCAGCCCAAAGGCAAGTGCAAAAACCGGGCCGCACACCTCGCACAAATCAGCTCCAAGCCAACCCAAACCGACAGAAAGTCAACCTTAAACCCTCGCAACATCATCCTGGATATCAACCCTTTACAAAACCTAAATCAACCAGCCCCCTGGGCGGGGCTAAGCCCCGAGCCGGGGCTAGTAAAAAAACTAGAGGACGATTGGCCCGAAAGCATTTTTTCCCACGTGATCCAGTCGCGGAGACACCTTTTTACATCGCTGCGGCGAGCGTGTCTGCACGCGGCGACGCTCAATGTGTATGGTCACATGAGAGCTCCATCTCATCGTCCTACGAGAGGAAACATGGCAGTGCTGGATCCCACATATTTACATCCGTTAAAACAAGAAGAGTGAAGCTCGTACAGCTCGAAACGAACTACAAGCACAAGGAAAAGCCACGAATAGCAAAGCTTACACGGCGGCCACAGTTTCTGCAAAGCACGCTCGCGCAACTTAGCTCTGTGCAAGATGGCTCTGCGCAGCTTGGCTCTGTGAAAGTTGGCTCTACGCAAGCTACTTTTCGCGAGTGGCTCTGCGCAACTGGCTCAGTGCAAGTTGGCTCTGCACGAGTCTGCTCGGCGCAATGTGCTTTGCACGAACTGCGCCGCGCGATTTCTCACGAAAGTGGTCTGCGCAAGCTGCATTGTTCCAGGCTGCTGCGCGCAAGTTGCTCTCTGCAAGCTGCTGCACGGAAGTGCTCTGTGCAAGTTGCTCTGCACAAGTGCTCTGAGCAAGTTGCTCTGCGCAAGTGCTCTGCGCCTGCTCCGTGCAAGCGCTTTGCGCATGTGCTCTGTGCAAGTTGGTCTGTGCAAGTTGCTCTGCGCAAGTGCTTTGTGCAAGTGCTCTGTGCAAGTTGCTCTGCGCAAGTTGCTTTGTGCAAGTGACTCTGCGCAAGTTGCTCTGCGCAAGTGCTTCCGGAGCTGTGGGAATGTACTTCGCGTTCTATTTTTGTACTTGAAAGTTGCGATTTTCCAGCCGGAGCTGCGGGAGTGTGCTCCGCGTACTACGTTTGTACTTAAAAGTTGCGATTTTCCAGCCGGAGCTGCGGGAGCACGCTCCGCATACTACTACGTCTGTACTTAAAACTTGCGATTTTCCAGCCGGAGCTGCAGGAGCACGCTCCGCATACTACGTTTGTATTTAAAAGCTGCGATTTTCAAGCCGGAGCTGCCGCGGACCAGGGGGGAATCGAACCCGCGACCGCGGGATTGCGAAAGCAGGCGCAAACCACGAGACAACTTCCAAAGGCCATTTCGCGAGCAACAAAATCGCATGGCGCCACAGCGAGAGCGCTTCGACACGCACCATCTCCGCACAAAGTTCGCCGAGACTAAGAAGAAATCGCACAGCACCACAGCGAGAGCGCTTCGACACGCACGTTCTCCGCAGAGGGTTCATCCGGGAATGTCAAAAACGCACAAAACCTCGAGTTTTTGCACCTCGACTACGCCGATCTCCGCAGAGGGTCGCATTCCCGATCGTCGGCAACATCCCCACCCCCCGCCTTAAAAGAGATTCGAAATACCGAGCTCTTTCTCTTTCTTTCCCGCGCGTTAAGTACTTAACCTAACTTAGTTAACCTAGCTTACACAGCTGCTAACGCTGAGCCTCTACACCTAGCTTAGCTTCGCTCTATGCACCTAGCTCTATGCACTTGGCTCTATGCACCTGGCTCGATGCACTTCGCTCTTTGCACTTGGCTCTGTGCACTTAGCTCTGTGCACTTGGCTCCTTGCACCTCGCTCTTGGCACTTGGCTCTGAGAACTTGGCTCTATGCGCTTGGCTCTTTGCACTTGGCTCTGCGCAAGTAACTCTATGCTCCATGCTGGTGACTCTGCGCAAGTATCTCCATGCTGGTATCTCCATGCTGGTGACTCTGCGCAAGTATCTCCATGCTGGTAACTCTGTGCAAGCTACTCTGTGCTAGTAACTCTGCGCGAGTATCTCCATGCTTGTATCTCCATGCTGGTGACTCTGTGCAAGCTACTCTGCGCAAGTTGACCAAGAGCTCCTGGTATCTCCATGTTGGTGACTCTGTGCAAGCTACTCTGCGCAAGTTGACCAAGAGCCCCGCACGGAAGAACCCTTCGCAATGCTTTCATGAAAAACACCGGTTCCAACGTCCCAAACCAACAACATGAGAAACACAAAGGCGATCAACGTTGGGAAGTATGACATCTAAGAATTTGACGTGGAGGTGGGCCCAAACCAACAACATGAAATAAAATAAAGGTGATCGACATGGGAAATCTAAGAATTTGACTTGGAGGTGGGCCCAAACCAACCAAGAAGGTGATCGACACGGGGAAGTATGACATCTAAGAAACTGACTTGTGGGTGGGACATGTAAAATTTGGATTTGGAGGTGGGCCAAAAACAGCAACATGAGAAAAGAAAAGCGATCGACATAGGGAAGTAGGACATCTAGGAGTTTGACTTGGAGGTGGGCCCAAACCAACTACATGAGATAAAAGAAAGGTGATCAACATGAGCAAGTACGACATGTGAGAATTTGACTTGGAGGTGGGCCCGAACCAGCAACATTAGAAAAAAAAGAAAAGGTGATCAACATGGGGAAGTAGGACATCTAGCAATTTGACTTGGAGGTGGGCCCAAACCAAGAATATGAGAACAAAGAAAGGTGATCGACGGGAGAAAGTATGCCATCTAAGAATTTGACTTGGAGGTGTGCACAAACCAGCAACATAAGAAAAAATAACAGCTATCAACATGGGGAAGTAGGACATCTAGGAATTTGATTTGAAGGTGGGCCCAAACCAACAACATAAGAAAAAGAATGGTGATCGACGGGACAAAGTATGCCATCTAAGAATTTGACTTGGAGGTGTGCACAAACCAGCAACATAAGAAAAAAGAACAGCTATCGACATGGGGAAGTACGACATCTAGGAATTTGACTTGGAGGTGGGCACATGAGAAAAAAGGAAAGGTGATCGACATGGGGGGGTATGACCTCTGAGAATTTGACTTGGAGGGTGTGCACAAACCAACAACATGAGAAAAAAGGAAAGGTGATCGACATGGGGGAGTATGACCTCTGAGAATTTGACTTGGAGGTGGGCCCAAACCAACAACATGAGAAAAAAGGAAAGGTGATCGACATGGGGGAGTATGACCTCTGAGAATTTGACTTGGAGGTGGGCCAAAACCAGCATGAGAAAGAAGAGAAGTGTTTAACACGAGGAACTATGACATCCAAGGAGTTGACTTGGAGGTGGGCCCAAAAGCAACAAAATGATAAAGACAATAAGTGTTTAACATGAGGAAATAATTATGACATGTAAGAATTTGACTTGGAGGTGGGCCCAAAACAACAACATGAGAAAGAACAGAAGTGTTCAACGTGGGGAAGCAGGATATCCAATTCTTAGTGGGCCCAAAACAACAACATGATACAGAAGGGAAGTGTTCAACTGTGGGAAATGATGACATGTAAGAATGGGATGCAAAGGCCATTTATTTTCACCACAAGCAAACAAGTTTGTACAAAAAACAAAAAACAGAGAGTCTCATCCGAGACGTGGCTATCTCCATTCTGGGTCCGGGCTACCGGCAACTTTCCTCCCTGATCGCGATCATGGGATCTATCGCGCCTTTGCACTTCTGCAATGCGGCTGCGGACTTCCTTCAACTCCGCAGAGCTGCGCCGCAGCTCCTCTTGCGACCTGCGCGCGCGCACGCGAAGTCGCAATGGGAGTCCTGATCCCCGGCCGTCGGGCACGGAGCTGCGCCGCGGCCAGGCTGGCCTCAGCGAAACGAAGCGACAGCACCGCCTTCGCCCATCGCGCTGGCCTTGACGCGGCGCAGAGAATGCGACTCGGAGGCCTCCTCACCGACGCCGTGTTCCAATGTCCAACGATGTTCCGTACATTTTGCGTGACATGTGGAGTTGCGCCTGGAGAAATGATGGCACCGTGCTGGCCTGCACCTTGCTGAAAAGGCAAGCAGCACCTCATCTCCTGAAATTCTGCCAGCCTTCGCCCTGCCCAGCTGGCTGGAAAGCTCCTTTTCTCGAGCCTGGCAACTAGATGACTGCATGCCAGAATGACTACGGCAGGACAGTTTGCAAAGTTTACACATGCCCGCCGGCCTGCAACACGTCCAACGCGCCCTCCTCCTCTGCCTCCTTTTCCTTCAGAACGGCAGCAAGGTGGCCGACACATGGCTTGTTGCTGTCCTGGATGGAGGCCAAGGCTTGCCTCAGCCTGGAAACTTCTGCGCCTGAGCCACGCTGAAAACTGTGGGCTCATGCCCATCTTTGCAGTCTGCATTTGCTGTCGAAGCGCTTGTCTGCTCCAAGGTGTCCTCCAAATCGGGTTGTGGCATACGGCTTGGCACGAGAATCCCGTCCTGCTGGACGGCCCGCACTGCGGAGAGAGAAACCTTTTGTGCAAGTTCTGGTCAGGGCAAAGGGCAAAAGGTGCAACAAATGCACAGTCGAAAGCTGAGGGCAACGCTTCATTGGGCGCTGCAAGCACTGCAGGCCCCTCCAGAAGACCCACGACCTGCAGGACATAGGCCCGTGCCGAGGCCCTCCCTGCGGCATGCATTATCTCGCCCAAGCGGCAGTGAGCACCCGGAGAAAGGCCCTGGCGCAGCTGCAGTGCGATTCAGCGAGTCGACAACAAGACTCTAAGACGTCTAAGACGCAACGTTCTAAGACGTAACGTCTTGGAACGTCTTGGCCGACTTCCGCACTTCCGGCCTGTGAACGCCGTGCGCCATGGCCCCGGCCGGGCCCCCACTTAGGCCGGGAGACTTGCAAAAGCCCCAAGCGGTGCGAATGTGCGAAACAAATTAAGCAAAGCTGCAAATTGTCCCGGTTCGCTCTCTTTTATGCACTGGCACTTTGCCTTGGATGCTATGGGGCTATGGGGGGTGGCAGTTGAATGCTTCTGCATGCATCATGCCACTGTCTGGATCTTCCTCCAGGCACCTTTGATGTTTCCGCTGGCCATCGTCTCAGGTTGATATTCGAGGGTCCTTGCACATCACATCAGGCCGTCACGAGTTCTGAGCATGGCCTCCAAAGCCCGAACTTCAGTAATACCCGACCCGGCTTGAATCATCTAATTATGCCGGTCGCCGCGCTAGTGCTTGCATGGCAGCCGCGAGCCGAGAAAAATCTTGTCGAAATCCTTCCAGCGCCTCCTTGCACTGAGGAAGTGACCCAAAAAGTGCAAACGTCAATGCATTTGCCGTTGTCAGGGAGGTGCTGCCTAGGCACGCGGAGACCCTTCATCTCCTGCCGCATGCCAGCGACGTCACCGGCAATGCTCAAAAGTGCCTGCCACATGCACCAACCATTTCAATTCCGCGCGGCACTTGCGTGCCTTCTTTCCATCTTGGGAACTGTCCGGCTCAGGGTGGTCCTGGCCAGCAAACCGACAAGCTCGCCACGCAAAAAGCCCAAACGACTGTCACAACTGTTCCTTGGGCACAGGACTTGGCGCTTGCAGGTGTTCGCCCTGATCTCCCTGCAAGTGTTCCTCGGCTGGCTTGGCGTTACCCATCACGACTCCAAAGGATTCATCACATGGTCGACATGCCCTCTCAAAGTGCTTGGCGTCGCCTTGCTTGTCGGGTTCGAGACTCTCCTTTTGCCCACATTTTCCCCAGTGTGCAAGTGCACGCGTACACGCAGAGGCAAATCTTGGTCAAGCGGCTGCAAGTTCCTCTGACCTTGGCGTCTCACAATCGATTCACGGCATGTCATCTGAAGCTGCTTCCCCAGTCTCAGCAGCGGTAAGGTTGAACTCACTAAGGTTTTTAGGGGCGTGGCCGATGAAAAAAATCCCTCGGGCGCCCGAATGTCGAAGACTCTGCGAGCATCGCGTGCAGGTCCAAACCAGAGTTCCCAGGCCAAAGTGCCAGGCCTGCGATCGCGGGATAGACTGGTGAAGCCCGGCATTTGTCTATTTCGATTATTTCAATTACACAGAACTTGTTGAATTCACAGTGCGCTGTCCTGCGAGCCGCAGGGACGTTGTGGGAGCCAAATCCAGCGTGGCCACGCAGTGCCACTCACAACGCCGTCCCCAGTGGTGTGGTGGAGCCAACGTCCAGACTTGGACCTCGCTGCTGCTGTGCGACCCGTGCACGACCAAGGCGCCTCGGTGCTCACCGTTCCGGCCCACAGCCAGCAGCTCACCAAAGGCTTCCCTCTCCGCGCCGCACGTCAAGCGCAGCCCGGAACCCTGCACAAGAAGCCCACAGGCAAGTCAAGTGACCACACCCTTTTCAGCAATCATGGAAGCATGTACTTATTCTGTGGTGACGAAAAGAGTCCTTGGAAAGAGTCAGAGTCGGATTCTTGCGTCGCCTTTTTGCGGGAACCTTTTTGGGCTGATTTTACGGGGAAACCAATGGGCTTCCCTGCTTAGAGACGACCCGGCGCCGTCACTTCGTGGGGCTTTGGGCCACAGAGCCAAAGAGCCTCGGCAGCCTCGTCGAGAATCATGGGAGCTGATGACTTGTTTTCTGCAAACATGGAAGCTGAATGGTGGAACGCCCAACAAATAATGCGCGTGTGTGGATGTGGAAGTTGGTCCGAACAGCCAACCAGGAGCATGCTTTCCTTACATGGAGCCCGCGCGTGTTTAGGGATTAGAGTTCAGGCCAGGGGCTTCGGGAAGTGAACGGGGAACCGACCAAGCTATGTTCAACCCCCAAAGAGGGTGCTCCGACAAGAAAGCAGTATCCATGATTGTTGTACCTGAGCTGCATTCTAGATACAAAGCGACCAAGCATAGCTTCAAATGCGGCTGGAGTACAGAAGAAGCCGAAGTGGAATCGGAGCACTTGAGGGGCAGTACGTATCTCTGGCAGGGCACCACTTGCAGACCCATGAAGCTTGCAACATCGGGCATGTTCTGATTGAACGACGAGTCGTTGAGCCGCAAGTCGGAAGGCCCGTCTTGTGGATTTTCAATCTCTTGTACCAGCATCCTTCGTGGAGCACTTGGGGCGCTTTGCCCAGGCAAAAGCAGCCGTGGCTGGCTTCCTGCTCGCTGGTCGATTCGGCACAAAAAAGTGTTGGCATGCGCTGCCTGAATGTCCATGCACTCGCCTGCACACAAAAGATGCCGTGAGTGTCTCGGCGCACCGTCTCCAGATCCGTGTTCCCAGGCAAAACAAGTCAGCTGGCCCTTTCCACCCACCAGGAGCTGCGAGCCATCATTGGACCAGCACAAGCAGGAACACGGAAAACTCAGATTGAGTGAGAGCAGCTGCTCCAGCTGCTCCAACCTGGGACCGTCTTGGCCAGCCCGCACTGCTATCAACAGCACGCGGTCGGCAAGTAAAACCGTCAGGATGTCGATCAGCGAGTCGCAGTATTTGGCGCACCGCGGCAGCTCGGAGCTCCAAGAAATCGCCTTGGCGGTGCCCGCGGATGCGTCGCCCAGATGGCGGTAGACAGAGGCTGAGGGCTGCCACACAGCGACGGAGGCGGCGCCGTCGGCCACCTCCAAAGAAGCGAAGACCCGCAGCCGGGGCGCCAGCAGCAGCTGCCGCGGGTTCCGTAGTGCTACCCCGTCAGGGGACAGAGGCCGCGCCTGGCACCTCCCGGCCTCGTAGTGGCAGAGGTGCAGAAGCTTCGCCTTCGTATCGAAAAGCAGGAACTGCGAGACCTCACATACTGGAAGCGACCCCGCCAGCAAATTGCAAAGCGGCCGGGGGGTGTAGCAGCCCCAAAACGCATCGACATCCTGGGCATCCATTGCTCTAAGCCAGCTGGTGCTATCAAGCTGGTTCAACTGAACCGACGGCGACCCTTGCGGCAAGGAGCAAGGGAGTAAGAAACAAAACCTGATCTATTTACTGACAGCACCGCAAATCCCACACACACACACACGTGCACACGCCACCCATGCCCAAGTCAGACAAGTGCTGGCGCCAAACAATGTGTGCCTTCCCCTGCCCGGGAAGGGCCCGGGAAGGGCCCGGGAAGCTCAGTTGTTGAGTTGTTTTCGCTTTCAACGGCACCGTGGCATGGCACACGGCCATGAGACACTTGATGCAGACAGCTCCGCAGAGCCTGGCGGCTCGCAAGCGTCTCGTGCCCCGTGAGAGAGCAAAGCCTTGTAGCTCAGCTTCTGCATGGCTTCCATCCAGAAAACCTCACGCCAAACGAAGCTGACGAATCCCAGGGTCCATCCGAAGCTTGAGCTGAGGGGCGGCCTGGGATTAAGGGCCGCTGCCGCGCGAGGTTGTGGACATGCTTCGAGGCGCCATCGTTCAGCAACACCTGGCCTCAGTTTCCCAAGTTCCTGAGCCAAATGTGGAAGGAGGAACGAGGTTTCTGAGGCAAATGCGATCATCCAACCTCAGGCACAGCCGGAACTCAGAGGTTTCTCGAGCTTCAAAGTGGAAGCCAAAAGGGCTGCTTGAAGGCCGAGGGACCGCGTAATCAAGGATCCATAGGCCTGGTGACGTTGCATGGGCAAGCCGTCCCTGGTTTGTAGATAGATCCTCGCTTTGGTGCAGGCCGCACAAAGAATGGCCCGTCTGTCCGACAGTTGCCAGCCAAAGTGCAGCTTCTGGATTGTGTTGAACTTGCGGACTTGCATTGGGGCATCTGAGAACTTGATAGCATCCGAGGCCGAGTTAACATTGCAGTCCTTGGGTCTGCAAGCCCTGAAGGCCGGGCTGCCAAGGCTACCTTCCACAATGTGTTCTGACATCTTCAATGCAACGGCTGAGCAGGGGCGAGGATCAGAGACTCGCCACAACACCAGGCTCTCCGCCTCCAGCGCCGACCGGAAAACCCCAGCTCGACAGTCAAAGTGAGCCACGATGATCTCATCGAGCGCTAGGCCTTGGCCAACTCACAGGCGCAACCTTCCTCCCCTCAAAAATGTCCAACACAAGGGGCAGAAGGGGCAGAAGGGGCAGAAGGGGCAGAAGGGGCAGAAGGGGCAGAAGGGGCAGAAGGGGCAGAAGGGCCAGAAGGGGCAGAAGGGGCAGAAGGGGCAGAAGGGCCAGAAGGGGCAGAAGGGGCAGAAGGGGCAGAAGGGGCAGAAGGGGCAGAAGGGGCAAGGGGCAGAAGGGGCAGAAGGGGCAGAAGGGGCAGAAGGGGCAGAAGGGGCAGAAGGGGCAGAAGGGGCAGAAGGGGCAGAAGGGGCAGAAGGGGCAGAAGGGGCAGAAGGGGCAGAAGGGGCAGAAGGGGCAGAAGGGGCAGAAGGGGCAGAAGGGGCAGAAGGGGCAGAAGAGCCAGAAGGGGCAGAAGGGCCAGAAGGAGCAGAAGGCAGAAGGGGCAGAAGGCAGAAGGAGCAGAAGGGGCAGAAGGGGCGGAAGGGCCAGAAGGGCCAGAAGGAGCAGAAGGGGCAGAAGGTGCAGAAGGGGCAGAAGGGGCAGAAGGAGCAGAAGGGGCAGAAGGGGCAGAAGGGGCAGAAGGGGCAGAAGGGGCAAAAGGGGCAGAAGGGGCAGAAGGGGCAGAAGGGGCAGAAGGGGCAGAAGGGGCAGAAGGGGCAGAAGGGGCAGAAGGGGCAGAAGGGGCAGAAGGGCAGAAAGGGCAGAAGGGGCCAGAAGGGGCAGAAGGGGCAGAAGAAGGGGCAGAAGGCAGAAGGGGAAACGGGGCAGAAGGACAGAAGGGGCAGAAGGTCAGAAGGGGCAGAAGGGCCAGAAGGGGCAGAAGGGGCAGAAGGAGCAGAAGGGGCAGAAGGGGAAGGCAGAAGTGGCAAGAAGAAGAGGGGCAGAAGGGGCAGAAGGTGCAGAAGGGGCAGAAGGAGCAGAGAAGGGGCAGAAGGGGCAGAAGGGGCAGAAGGGGCAGAAGGGGCAGAAGGGGGCAGAAGGGGCAGAAGGGCAGAAGGGGGGGCCAGAAGGGGCAGGGGCAGAAGGGGCAGAAGGGGCAGAAGGGGAAGGCAGAAGGGGCAGAAGGAGAAGGGGCAGAAGGGGCAGAAGGGGCAGAAGGGGCAGAAGGGGCAGAAGGGGCAGAAGGGGCAGAAGGAGCAGAAGGGGCAGAAGGGGCAGAGGGGCAGAAGGGCCAGAAGGGGCAGAAGGGGCAGAAGGGGCAGAAGGAGCAGAAGGAGCAGAAAGGGCAGAAGTGCCAGAAGTGCCAGAAGGGGCAGAAGGGGCAGAAGGGGCAGAAGGGGCAGAAGGAGCAGAAGGGGCAGAAGGGGCAGAAGGGGCAGAAGGGGCAGAAGGGGCAGAAGGGGCAGAAGGGGCAGAAGGGGCAGAAGGGGCAGAAGGGGCAGAAGGGCCAGAAGGGCCAGAAGGGGCAGAAGGGGCAGATGGAGCAGAAGGGGCAGAAGGGGCAGAAGGGGCAGAAGGGGCAGAAGAGCCAGAAGGGGCAGAAGGGCCAGAAGGGGCAGAAGGAGCAGAAGGGGCAGAAGGGGCAGAAGGAGCAGAAGGGGCAAAGGGGCAGAAGGGGCAGAAGGGGCAGAAGGGGCAGAAGGGCCAGAAGGGGCAGAAGGGGCAGAAGGGGCAGAAAGGGGCAGAAGGGGCAGAAGGAGCAGAAGGGGCAGAAGGGGCAGAAGGGGCAGAAGGGGCAGAAGGGGCAGAAGGGGCAGAAGGGGCAGAAGGGGCAGAAGGGCCAGAAGGGGCAGAAGGGCCAGAAGGGGCAGAAGGGGCAGAAGGGGCAGAAGTCGCAGTTGCTGAGCTGCCCCTGTCGGCCGCCAGCTCCACCAGCAGGCGGTTGCAGGTTGCGCTGGCAATGCCTGGACGAAATGCCTATGGCTGGAACAACAACAAGCATTGCTGAGTTGCTGAGTTGCAGGTTGCTTGGCTTCTAAGGCTTTTGTCAAGATGCTGGCAGCCAAGCTGATCCAGGAGGATAATGAACCACCAAAAGCTCGTGGGCCAGGCGGCACTAGAACAGTCATCTCGTCACCTGAGTGCCAAAAGCAAGAACAATGAGACCAAACAGAAAAAAGGCTTCAAAGAAGGCTTCAGCCAGGAAGCTATGGGTGTAGCCCAAGACCCCACCAAATTCACACATCACCTTACACGTGTGCAGTTCCAAGTGCCAAGGGCCAGTACATGCCCTCAGATTTGACAGTATGCATGCTTCGCATGCTTCGGGTTTGGGAGTCGGAAGGCTTTCGCGCCAACTCGGAAGCTTGGCGCCGTACTGCCCTGCAGCTTGCCACCATGGCCTCGGCAATCTCCCGGCGAAAGCCCCGCGCTAGGATGCCAGAGCTCTTCAGGCGATCCATCAGGGTACCCCAGCCTGAGACAGGTCATGACAGGTCTCACGTCGCACCCCGCAACTGAAAACAAAGAAGCAAGTCAAGAATCGGAAAAAGTGTACTCAGGGGGCTCTGGATCCAAGCGGCAACAGCCATCAAGGCGCAGCGAGATCCAAGCATCGCTGGGCAGGTCGTGAGGATATTCCTCATAAGCTTTCCTCAAGCGAGACAAGCTGACAGCATTTTGGGTATGCCATCTCAGCCAGCTCTGCAAAGACAAGACTCAAAAGCTTGCCCAGGTGTGTCCAGCGCCTCTTCGCGATGAGCGGCCCAAGCTCGTGGTCGTGGACTTCATGATGCTTCCTGATGCACAAGGCTACAAAAGCCGGTGAGAGCATCACGCTCCGAAGTGGCAAGGCGGGAAGCTTCAAGGGGCATGGTAGAGCCAGGACTCTGCGGATGCTTATTCTTGAGCTCCTTCCGGATCTCCAGCGCAAAAGCTCGCAGGCTCTCAGGCAGGCTCTCAGGCAGGCTCTCTGGCCCCGCCCTCAGCGTGCGTGCGGCGCTGGCCCCGGCAACAAAGCCCACCGCACGGCTCGTTCGCCTCGCCCTCGCTCGAATCGGATCCAAAGGCACAGCCACACCAGGTACACGAGGTACACGAGGTGCACGAGGTGCACGAGCTACACGACCAGCGTGCCAAATCCCGAATGGCGCAAGGTCCATGGCGTGCGCATGTGTCTGATCTGCCTGCCATGCTAGATACGCGCTAGTGCATGATTTAGGCAAAATTCACGCCTCGAAAAAGTTACCAAGTTTTCCCGACATGGTTCAAGTTTTGGCCGGCATGTCCGCTGTTGTGGTCGCTTTGCTTGGCCCTCATGTCAATGCGTGCAGCTGAGGTGACAATGCACCATGCTCAAGCCCGAAGATTACAACAACAAGGATGAAACGGTGGAAAGGGAAGGCATCTGCAATCCGAAGGCCAACAAGGCAAGGGAAACCAGCACGGTGTCAACGCACCTATCCCTTTCTGTCCCTTGCTTTCCTTTGCTTTTCCTTGCCCGTTCTCTTCTTCCCTTGATGTTTTTTTTGCGGTCACCCCCCCCCCCGCGCCCTGCACCTCCCCCCCCCCACAACGCCCTGTCACATTTTGACCACAACCCCAGCAAAAAAGTCGCTTTCCGTCATCACATCAGGTGGGCCACCAATATCACAATGTCACCACCTTCGCACTCCTAGATGCAAATCAATCAATCGCGTCAGGCTGCAGAGTCACGGGTGTGGGCCATGGGGTCGCCAACTCAAAACGCGCATGCCTGCAGCACCGCGCATAGGTGAATTCTGCATCCCAGCAGGCAGGATTGCCAGCTGGCGTTGGGAAGCAGCAGTCCTCTCACATCCAGAAAAACAGGAAGTCTGATCATGTCCGCTTTCGAAAACGGCTCGACGTCCTCGTATCTGAAGCCGCTGACCCAGCAAGCAGGGTCGGTGCAAAGGCCATACTCTCGCCGGAGTTGCAGCAGCTGGTCCTCCACTTCCTGCGAAATATGGCACATCGAGCAGGTCAAGTCAAACTCGAGCTTTCAATCGGCGCGCACCCCGACGCGCTCCTGCATTTGAAGCTCGAGGTGCCGAAGCCGCTGCGGGCCACAAGCCTTATCTTACTGGGAGCTGTCCGGAGCTGTCTGCACCTTTCTCCTTCCCATGCCCAGGTGCCGAAGGCTCGGAAGGCGTTGGAGGCACAGGCGCTGGAGGCGCCGGAGGCGCTGCTGGGGCCTGAGCGGAAAGCCCAGCTGTGGCCGCAGGCACGGCCGCAGGCATGGCCGGTACTCCAGGCACTTCAGGCACTTCAGTCCTTGGCGTTGCAGCCTCTCCTTTCGCCTTTTCCGGTCACTTCTTGTTGGACCAAAGTCAATAGTTGCCCAGCCAAGTTTCAGCGAGCAGGGCCACTGCAGCCCTTACCACGCCAAGCAACAACTTACACTGCATCCGTAGGGGAAACTTCAGAATGTGCCAAATGCCTCACACTGGGGCGAGCTGCCAGCTTGCCCCAGAATGGGAACTGGATGAGCTTCCGTGCTCAGCACGAACTGATCCAAAGGCAGAACGGTATCTGACGAGAAAAGCCTGGCCGCTCAAATCTGCAGTCACGTCTTGTCGGCATGCTCTAAAGCCGAGGAGCAGAAACAAATACTTCAGAGTCTCCTAACTTGCGCGAGAGCAACCCAAGCTGCAACCGGCCGAGATGCCATGCCACACAACTCTAGAAGCAAGCAGCACGGAGAGCAAGCAAGCAAGCCAGCAAGCCAGCAAGCCAGCAAGCCAGCAAGCCAGCAAGCCAGCCAGCCAGCCAGCCAGCAAGCAGGCAAGCAGGCAAGCAGGCAAGGCAAGGCAAGGCGGCGGCAAGGAGGCAAGCAGGCAAGGCAAGGCAAGGCGGCAAGGAGGCAAGGAGGCAAGCAGGCAAGCAGGCAAGCAGGCAAGCAGGCAAGCAGGCAAGCAGGCAAGCAGGCAGGCAGGCAGGCAGGCAGGCAGGCAGGCAGGCAGGCAGGCAGGCAGGCAGCTTACGGGTCGAGATTTAATTTGGGAATGTTTTTTTGGATTTGTGTTTTCCGTCCTGGCTACAAAAATGCTGCAATTTACAGCATGTTCTTGCGAAATGTGCGTATGTTGCGCTAGTCCGTCAACATCATCAGCATCGTTTTCAACATCCCCCGCATGTCCAGCCAACATGCCCAGCATCACCATCAAAGCGAGGCCTTGGCTTCCTGCATCTTCAGCATCATCAGTTCCTCTGCGGAGGATTCAAATACGCTAATCCCTGTAAAACACATAAAACGCATGATGATTGAAAAAGTGATGATTCAATTAGGGGTGCATTTTAATCTCTGCCCAAAATCAAAAATTGTAGTGGGGGGTTTGAGTGGGGGGGCGGCAGCCCTCAAGGTGATCAAAGAGTGATGATTCAATTGGGCGCAAAATCTAAAAAGCAGTGGGGGGGTTGGCCCCCCATGATGATTGAAAAAGTGATGATTCAATTAGGGGTGCATTTTAATCTCTGCCCAAAATCAACAAAGTAGTGGGGGGTTCGGGGAAAAAATTGCAAAAGTAGGGGGCCTGGGGGGTGGTCTGTTGATGGTCCCCTGTTATGTTTTTTATATTCATCTCAAACCTATTAACCACCTTATTCGTTTTTAAACGAGGGTTTTTAGGGAGCTTATATATCGTTTTCGTTAAGGTAATCATTTGGGTAAATTGTCGCCTTGTTCATTGTTGGGCTGGGGGCCGACATTTTTTCATTTGAAAGAGTTGGCCCTTTTAGTAGTTATCAAGTTCTGGGGTGTTGGGGGTGCATTTGTTTTGTTAGTATTTTTCTCACTAATTTTCATTTATAGGTTAAAAGTTCAGTATAATTATAACATATAAGGTTGTTAGATGTTATAATTACATTATGGTTATACATTGAAAATAATTTAACTATTCTCTGTAACCAAAAAAATTGAAAAATGTAGATTTTATACCTTTGATATCATATTGGCTTTTCTTGTTGTCAATGTCATTCTTCATGTTCTTAACTATATCGCTTAAAACGCTATCAATGTTATTTTCATTTACTTCATCATACTTACTTAATAGAGTGAAGATTTCATCTTCCTCATCTTCCTCATCTTCCTCATCTTCCTCATCTTCCTCATCTTCTTCATAATTTCTTGCCTTTATATCTATCGCAATTGTTAATTTCGCTTTAAAGTCTAATTTGTCTTCCACTTCCACTTCTACATACATCAAGCTCAATAACCGTTCTTTTTGGTTTTTGACTAACTGTTCCAAACTTTCTATTTTAAATGGTAATTGTCTTTTAATATGATAACCATTTCCAAATATGTTTTCTTCCTCATACTATATTCTAGTCCATATGTTTCTATTTTGTATCTGTTTTGAATTCTTTTCAAGGCTTCATTATGACAACTTTTAATTTTTATATATTCAGGTTGACCATATTTAAAGGATATAATATTACTCAATACTTCAACAGACAAATTATTAATTTCCGTTTTTAATACTAAACCCTCAGGTAAGTTAGTCAAATTATCAACCATAAAATTGTTTTCCATCATTTTACCCTCGCTCATTTTTCTCTTAATATATAAGGTAATATTTCTTTAAGTAGTTTTGGCTACGGGTTGCTGGTCGGCTGGTCTGGGCTTCAGGTTTAATTTAAATGTCTTAACCTTCTTGCTAGATTATAAAAACTATGTTTAATCATATTATAATTAAATAATATCATTAAACTAAATCACTCACGCTTTCCATTCACCTATTCCATCCCACCAGAATTCAATAATAATTCGCATCTGTCCATCTACTAGACTGTCTTCTTTGTTTAGTTTCCGTATCGCTCCTGATAAGATATTGTGGTTCATAATCATTGCATGGTGAGTATGTCGGGCACCTCACAAATCACAAGAACATTGCTGTGACTGACTTTTTGGAGACCTACGCCACCACCTTTGTTCAGTCCCGTTCTGGCGATTTGACCTATGATAATGATAGGTTTGCTGAAGCGGTGAAAACCACCATTGCCTACAGAAAGGGAATTCGCAGGGCTTCAGAGGTTGCCAATGCTCAACCCAATGAGGTGGAAGACAACTCCACCCGCTGTGTCTTGATGTAGGGCGATTGATGGGAAAGACTCTTCAAAATCAGCACTCATTCGTTTCCAAGGGTTTTTGGTTTCCAAAACCCAAAACCACTGGTTTCCAAAACCCAAAACCAACGGTTTTTGGTTTCCAAAACCCAAAACCACCTGTCAGAAGGCACCTCCCTCGGCGACTACAAGGTATCGGGCGGGTAGGTTTTAACAAGTATATCACTAATCAAATCAGTAGGAATTTTGTATAACTCATCTTGTTTATGTTTAATGTATCCATCACCCCAACTATCCTTTCTACCACAAGGCAACCGTTGAGCAGTTTCTAAATGTTTCCCATTCCTAATTTTCCCACAATCCCTATTACATAACGGTCTAGGTTTCCAAGTTGTTATGTTAGTCCAAAGCCTAGTCCTTTTCCTGTAATTCATTCCGTATTTACAATAATCCACATCATAGTAGTTTAAACCACTCATAAACGGTTGTTCCTTTAAAAATCCAGTCTGCGGATTTTCTATTAACCAGTATGTCGGTTTGAAATAATCTATAATTTCAAGGGTTTTTAAAACGATACTGTTAGCATAATCTATTTTTAGTTTTAGCACGACTGTATTCGGTACAAGGAGGAGATGCCCAAATCACATCAAAATCATTGACACCAAACTCTGTATAATCCCAACTCAAAATATCAGTATTGATATTGACACTAAAACTCAAATCCCGAGCAACACGACCAACCGAGCCTGTCCCGCCAAACATCTCTAATAATTTCATTCTTATTAAACATATTTAGATTAAAAGTTATTGCTGTAAAATTCAATATGTTTTATTGTTCTTTCATGCTCTGCCTTACCATCTCTTCTGATGATTGACCCACAACAACAAGTATATCTTTGCTTTCGTTGTTGTAGTCTAGCATCTCTGTTTAAAGTGTGCCGCTTTCTGTCATATTCAAGGATTTTTTCTCTGTTGTCTTCTTTGTATTCACTAAGCGTTCTACCTGCAATATGTTTGTTCAAGTCAGGTTTGTATTCCCGTATAATTTCACCTTCTCTTTTAGATAGTTCTTCCCGATTATTACAACTACAGTTTTCAATAAGTTCTGTATAATAAATATCTACAGCTAGCTCGTTCATGGAGCGATACACCTTATATGAATTTGCTCTCGGGTTTCTTGTTGCCTTTCTATGTTGTGCCATTCTTTCGCTTAGTTTCTGTGTTGTGCTTCCAATGTAGATACTGTTATTTTTTGAATTTCTATCTATGTAAATTTTCCCTTTTGAGTAGTCCTTATGGTTTCTTCTGTCTTTGATGCTGGTTTCCATCGTGTTATATGTTGTTTTATGGTGCTTTATGTTTAAATATATGTCAGGGTTATTTTATCCTATAATGCCCATAAGGCGGTGAAGTGAAAGCATTAATATAAAACCTTTTATTTTCATAATTACTCTGACTTTGCTTTACTTGAGACATTGAAAATAATTGATGGTTGCGACTACGAATAAAGTTATATGTTATTTCATGCTTTTTGTTTTGAAATAATGCTTCGTGGTAGTTTTGGTAAGTCAGTTCTTTTTCACTTTGTGTTTCACTACACCTTTTGATTTCTTATGTTCATCATCCTCACCGTGAATTGTGAAGGCATAAGCTTTAGGTTTTAATCCGAATTTAGTAATGATTGTTCCATTCACTTCGTCCTAAAAATTCCTAAGACCTTTTTATTAGTTTTGTCATGACATGGATGCTCAACAGGATAGTCGCTAAAATCCATGTGTTGCTTTATATCATTGAAATCCTTATAGACATCATCAGTCATTGTTTGAATTACATAACTGTCAGTATCGGTATAAACCAGTTTTATGTTTTCATTATACTTTTCTTTCAATACATCATAGTAAAACTGATACATATGTAATTTGCTTAAATCTAAAATGCTCATTCCCAGGAAAATCGGTTTATCCAATTTCAGTTTCGCTTTAGTTTTTTCAACTCCTACCAGATTTTCATTTATAATAAATCTGTTTTTGAATGTTGGATTATTAACACATTTTTCATATCTTACCTCATTATCAACTAATTCAAAATCCATATGGTTTCGCTTGTCTTCCATAGTTTTTCCGTACACCGCGTTATTCATTAATTTGAATAAATCTTTCTCAAAATCGCTTTTGGCTTCTTTCCTTTTACCAGTGTTGAAGTCAATCCACGGTTTCAACCATGCCCTCTGTTGAAATTTTATTATCCTATGGACTTTACCCATTTTCATTCCCATTTTCAAATAATACTGTAAAGTCTTGATATGAACCACATATTTTTCTTTATCCTTTAGATTTAATATTAACTTACTTGTTTTCTCGTCCTTGGGGCGTTTACCATCATAATATATGTTGAAGACTTGCTTTTGATAGTCGGAAAGCATATTCACATTTACATTCATTATTTCAGGCGCTAGTGGATAGTCGGAGTGGAAGTCGTGCAATGTTTCGGGATATTCCAAATCAACTTCCATAATATAACCAAACTCATCGTTTTCATTCCAATTTTCAACACTGGGCGT